CGGATTCCAGTTTCGGGATTCCATGTTTTAGGGTTGCCCCCTCCCCTCACCCCACCCACCTCCTCATGAAGAAGAGAAAACTCTTATTGACTAATGACATAACAAAAGATACTACTCACAGTATTGCCTTGGCAGCTCATATTTTCTAAGACAGTAACAACAAATTTTGTTTCCTTGTGTGCCAAATTGATGCTTTCAGCTATCTTGTCAATGGATTCTTCAACTGTGATTTTGCCACAAGTTGAGCCTGGATGGAAATTGTACAGACAGAGCCCCAGCTTTTCACAGCGTTGCAGCTCATCCACAAGGGTGGATCGGCTTTTAGAGAGCGTTTCCTCGTCTGGAGATCCACAGTTCATGAGGTAAATACCATGTGGAAGAATCGAATGTGGAGAGAAGTTGGCTTTGGCACAAGCTTCTTTGAAGAGTTGGGCTGCTTTGTCTTCCAATGGTTTGCTTTTCCACTGGCGCTGTGATCTCAAGAAAAGCCCAAAAGCTTTAGCACCTATAGCCAGTGCCTCAGCCACTGCATTGTGGAGCCCTCCACCAATAGACACATGAGCTCCAACAAGCTTCTCCTGGTTAAACAATGACTGAATGTCATCTTCATATTTTATCGCCGTGTGCACATCCGAATCGTCTGTTTTCATTCTTTTGATTTTGGGTTTAACTTTTTCTTCAGTGATAGCTGAGCTGTTCAGTGTACTCACTTTCTGTTCATTTTCGTCTTGATCAGTAGTGCTTTTCTCTCGGGTCCGTTTCGTCGCCGTGGATTTCTGGGGCTTTCTCGTTCCCGCCTTTTCCTCTTTTCCCGTAGAGTTTGTTGCCGATGTCGATCCTGAGATTTGCGCAACTTCAGCAGCTCGAGAAGTTATTTCATCGACTGCTCTAGCTGCCAAACGAACACTCCGTCTCATGTTGAATACCTGGTGTCAAAAAGACTCAAAGAAAAGTAGCAGCCTATACAGTTCTGGCCGCCATCTTTTTTCTGCGGACGGCGGAAGATTGGATCGGGGGAGTGCTACAATAGATCCAGTCTTTCCACTTTCGTAATTTTCCGGACAGGATCAGGGAACGAGTTTGAGATCTTGCGTTCTTTCCGCGAATTTTAGGGCAAAACAGGGGCTGCTTGCAGTCTATTTGAGGTATGAAACAGAAATAATGCAGCTTTATGTCGTCATTGTTTGCTATCAAATAATCGATGCATCCGGAGAAGGGGGGATGGGAGGGGAGGAATTTGGCATCAAGGTTTGATACTAGAGTAGGAAATTTGATACTATATAGGGGGGGGGGGTAGGGGGATTTAAAACAAATTGCCTCGAGATCATGTTGAAGCGTGGCATAAGACAACATCTTTGTATATGTTCTGGATGAAAAACAATGCCTTGAAACAGTTTATACATGTATAACATTTGACGGTCAATATTAACCTGTGAAAATTATTACTCACTTTTATAGTTTGATAAAAAAAAATTATTCTTGTAACAGAGGATGTTGAAAGCAGGTTTTCAAGAGATATATTTTGCTCTTTTCCATTACTTATTACGTTTTATCGCGTGGCATGACCTTATAACGGTTGGGTATTTAAGCACTATTTTTGTCCTGGGAGATGGGAATTTGACCATGCAAGTGGAAATTCAAAATCTCGGAGAATACCAGAGGATTAACCAGAGGGGTGCGATGCTGAAGCTTCGAATTGACTTATGCACTAACTATGGTTTTTATTTGCAGTAGAAATTTCAATTAAAGACCAAAAGACCGGCAGTAGCTCACTAAACAGATTTTATTGCCTGTAATCCACAAAACTAGCTAGTTTATAAGGTTTTGGGGTAGGAAACTGAAACTTCAAACGATAAATTCAGTTCATTGTATTTGTCCAAACTGGTGCGTTTTCATTTGATATCATGTACATTTTGATGCATTTTCGTGAGTAAACGTATATTTTAAAAAAGTTCTTCAGAATGGAGACATATGAAAACGCTAGCCCTACCTCGCCAGTTAGTGTGGAGAGCAAAAACGGAAGCTGTCGTAGCAAAAACGAACTCAATGTGTCGCGGCTTAAAGTTTCAAACTCCTGAAGTGCACCCACTCACTTATTTTCACACATGTTTTCACGTTCATGGTGCAGACCAAGAGACCTCTTACACCGCAGACTTACTCGGTTCCACTGTCATCATTGACAGAGCTCTATCGATTGAGACCCCGTTTTCACCATGCTCCAGGTGTGTAGATTAACCCAAAATTAAATTGCCTCTTATGATGGATAGTATTTTACTACATTGAACCACTGACTATTGTTGGACGTTTTTTTTCTTTTTTTTTTTTCAGTAGCCTGATGAGTTTAAAGAGGCGTTTGTTTTGAAAGTGCAGCAAAACCTGATATTAAAACGCAGACAAGAAACCCAAATAACCATAAGCTAGGTTAAAGTTTTTCTTTTCACGGCCTCTGCCTTATCAAAAAGATTAAATCTTAGCTATACTTTCAGTATTTATTGTTCGAAAATATGAAATTTCCGATTATGGTGAAATCCCTCTACCACTGAGCCACAACACTGTTGTGCTTTGTGAATCTACTCTCACTGATATGCAGTACAGTCAATCTACTCTGTATACTAGTTTGACCAACAAATGCAGCTGTTACCCTTAGTCTTACGAAGTATTCCAAAGTAGCCGTGATATGCATGTTCACTAGACACCGTTTTGTTATCATGATATGATTAGGGAAAGGCATCGTCGGAGCATTAGGCCTTAACTAAATGTCAGATTTAAGCACTGGTTTTTGCGAAGTTGTACCCGTTTTATCTTCTTCATCTTCACTTTCTTCGTCATCGCTGGCGACTCCTAGTTTTTCCTTGACCACTTGCTTCTCTCTTTCCATCTTAAACTTCAGGTTCTCAGGAACATCAGGAACGATCCAAGCTATCATGGCGGTTATTGAGTGTACCACGAAGAAGAACACCACGACGAAGGCGAGTCGAGCAGCAATCAGATTCCAGTACTGCTCGGAGTAGTTGTAAGGGTAGGTGCTGTCGTGGTAACCAGAATACCTGAGAGATGAGTGACACAACAAAGTTTATTTGTATGAAACATCAGATGCATTGGTTGGTCAGGAGACACCCTTGGGTTGTACATGTAATTAAGTGATCAATAAGGGAAAACCTGTACCCTCTGTTGCGAGAAAGGCATCCGCATTTTGAGTAGAAAAATATCATACTGATGACACAGCTAAGAATTAAGCCTAGCGTCTTTGATTGGTTGTCACTTCGTACGAAAATTGGCAACCTAGCAACAAACAATGGGAGAAACGAAACGAATCTGTGCAGTTGTAGGTCATTGGCACAAAATGTAAGTTAAATAAATATCTTAATTGACCACTCCCCCAATGGAGCTTTTCAGGGCCAATGAAGCCAAACAATGAAACAAATAATGCCAATGAACATAACATGAACATAAAATCCCAACTGGCAGGAGGCAGACTAGTTGGCTACTTCCAAGCGTGGCCGAGGAGTTGAACTGGGGTCTACCGAGAAACAACTCCAGCTTAGTGGTCAGAGTGGTACTTGAACCCGTGACCTCCGGATTTCAAGCTTAGTGCCCCAACCACTCGGCCGCGCTGCTTCCTGTCTCAATTGCAGATGTTCTCTGCGTTGACAACAACAACAAACTTGATCATACCCAGAGCCTCTGAACTGAGATATTTTTAATATAACTCAAGCAATACGAGTCCATTGGAACGTTATCTCTTGAGAATCATGTGGAGTAATGATTGGGGTGTATTACCACCTTGCTAAAGCTTCAGCTTAAACTACTGTTACCTGCAGTAGTCTCTGGTATAATTCACGTTTTCAGTAGGGTTCACAGGTTCTGTTCCAGGCTCCCAAGTGTAAAGGGTCTTAAGATCAATCGCAGCCAGGCTGTTGTTGAGGTATCCTTTTAAGGTGCCTCCTCCCGGTGAATCATGGTCCGGCGCATACTTGTATTTGTAGAGGAGCTTGGGAATGAAATCAGAGGTGAATGCCAATACGAATGCGTTCATTATGACTGCCACTTTGGTCACTGCCTCCAGTACTCCGTACCAGGCCCCTATATCTTCAACGCGAATGGTCTGTGGCCTTCGGTGGTAAGACACAAAGTTGATAGCATCCACTCGAATCTCCAAGACGGCGTTAATGAGTGCGAAGAGTGGTGCGAGCGGGAAGGCGGACACAAACATGGTCACAAAGCCGTACTGGAGAACTGAAAATAGCACCACATTATGTCATGATCACCTACTGATATGTACAGACACATTAATATGAGGGGAATAAATTAAAGGAGTGCTCTGAATGATAAGACAATCACGTGGACTGTTTCCAGTAAAACAAAGAAATTGCAGTCCCATCTTAAACTTCCATGGGGATGCGAACGTCCCATCCGCATTCAGCGGGTGAACATCGCGTCTGGTGCTCTTTAGGCCTTCACAATGTATCCAAATTGAACCCAAAAGAACTTTTATTGGGGAAAATCACAAAGGAAATTTACAATCGATGACGTTAAGATAAGCCAAAAAAAGATAGCTGGGAATGTTGAGTGAACTACCGTTGAGGACCTCCGAGAACAGGCACCTCTCTGCAACGGCCGCTTTTTGTTGTCCCGGCGGACGTTGCATATATTCACGCACCTCTTCACAACGGCAATAGCCACTAAAGCGGGACCCATCTGCCCGAATAACTCCTCTACAGCGGCCAGTTAGTCAACGACTGACGAATTGTGCATACAACCGAAAACCCTATTTTTTTTTGTTGTGGAAGGTCACGACACTCGATTCGTACCGCGCGCCTTTGGTCTCTGTTTCCGTTTCATTGCTGTATCTAGATTGGATTACGGTTACAATAGACATTTTTTTTTTTTCAAAAAAATAAAAATGTTGCCATCCTCCTTTCAGAAAATACAACAGGTTTCATACTACACGACTGCCTCCCAAGAATAGCCACCTCTGCCCCCTGCCCCCTAGCGAGGTGGCCGTTGTGGAGGGGTTCGTTATTATGTCTAGCCTTTCTTCTCGTTGATGCCAATTTTAGTACATGTAAAGGTTTTGTTTTTAGCTCATTGAAAAGAAAATAACCGGTACGGTTAGCTGACACAAAACACAGGGTTCTTCTCTAATTAATATGAGTATCTTGACAAGTGTATCTTACCTATTTCAAGGTAGTCCCAAAACAAGAAGTGCTCCTCTAAAGCGCTCAAGTCATAGTCTCTGATGTGCTGTGGCCGATCACTGGAATCTTCTAGCTTTCTTCGTTTGTACCACAGCATAAGTGATCTGTATTAAGAAATTAAGATTACAAGCTAAGTTTTTAATTTTGACTCTAAAATTCTAATGCTTATAAACAGCAACAAAGTTCAGTCTCGTGGCTAGCGATCATGCAGGTTATGATTTTAATGCAGTCCGGTAACGAAGAACGCTCAATGGACCTTTTCGGCGATAAGGCGGCCATTTTGAATTCTTCTGTTTCAGTTTGATATTGTGGGATGCCTAGGGTACAAATACGTATTAATTTGCCACCTGACATGTCCGCCGTATCGCCGAAAAAGTCAATTACTCCTCTACCGCAAGAAAAACAATATTTCTTAAAACAGAATTTATGATCACAGGTGAAATGCTTTGGTATTATTCTAGCCCTAGATAATTACAAAGATTTTTCTTTTGTACGAGCACGAAGCTGAGTGACACGTATATTTGACTCAGCTGTGTATTCCTTACACGACCTTAATTGAGGACGTTACTTACGGAAGGCCAATTTCTATGACGTTTCCAATTATTTGCTGCCCCACCATGATGATGGCGATCTGGATGCAAAGCTCTAGGAAGCAACCCTGCTCACTGCAGCTAGTTAGTCGGTACTTGTCCATAACACGTGTGTATCTTCCAGGGGATCCAACAACCAGTTCGGACTTGAAGAATGCGATGTAAACTATGGAGGCGAAGGTGTTAACAAACTGGAACAAAGCCATTTTCACAGTGAAGCTGTCCTCATACGTACTAAAGGTTGCAGGATTCTCCCAGTTTGTCAACCAAACAGCCAACTTGTTGTAAACGTACTTTAATATCGTAATGGCCAGAAGGTTGATGCAGGCTGCAAGACCCGTTGTAAAAATACGAGCGCGCTTCTGGACAAGGCGATCTGGATTGCTGCTAAGGGTAGCGAAAGTAGCAGCACGGAACACCACCACACCAATGATGGCAGCTATGACTAGGAAAATCATGAAAGCGACTACGCTGAAAACTACAGTATAACGTCGGTACTGCTTCATTTTAGAGGCTCTGAAGATGATCTTGCCGGTTTCTGGATCTGGCTTGAAAGGGTTTCGTTCTTCTTCCGTGAGGCTCCTGACATATTCTGGTCGAAGCGGTTCATCTTCGTCTTCAAAATCCATTGTGTGCCATTGTTGTGCAATGGAGGCCTGCCTGCGCTTCCAGAACTCGAGGAAGAGCGTGGCCCAGATGGACGCGACTAAGGCCAGAAAGACAGTGCCATCATTATCAAAGATGTGTGTGATGTATGCATAGAGGCAGGTAGTCGGAGCAAGGTTCCAGTAGCTGCACTGCCGATCACACAGGGGACACATGTACCAAACGCCTTCGTTCTTTTTGTCGCAGATGTCTTGCACTGGAATATATGAGCTTGCCGAAACGACTCCATACAGGAACACGATCAAGGCAACGATGGCAAGTGGAACCAGCATGGCGGTGTAAAACCCAAGCCAAGCAAAGTACAGGCCGATTTGATGACCAAAGTAATCTTTGATAGCATCGTAAGGCTGGTACTTGAAGCTTCTACCGAGTCGGGCCCAATCCCTCTTCAAGCGTTGGCGATCATTTGCAGGGGACTCACCCTCTCTCAGGTGAACAGGACCTTCATGTAAGGGATAGTGCGCGGTGTACGCACCATCCAATACAAGCCTCTTCAACCCCACGCACTGTGGATCTTGCGAAAATCGAGTGGTTTTCAACATCTGCTGAACGATGTACATTCGATCGACTGTACTGAAGAAAATCTCCTTGTCTTCGTGATTCACGTACTTTGTTAAATGCTCTTCTTTGAAGCGACCCATGAAATAATCTGGCTTCTCTCTCACTGTTGCATCATGGACGGTCAGTGGATTCCAGCGTGCGAGTTTCTCTAATCGCTTAGCGCCACAAGTAGTTTGTAAAAATGTTGTAAACTGGACGTCGCTTGGCTGAAGAGGCACTTTTAATCTCATCTCCTCGGCTCGTCTGGCCAGAACTTCCCAAGGTGCGTGAATCAAGACAAAATGTCGAACAACCTCAGGGTCCTATAACAAGTGAGGAAATAAAATGGTAATCATAATTAAGTAAATTATTTGGAAGGCACAACAAAATAATCTTCAGGCGGCTTCACAGGTTAAATTTTTAGCAGGCCTAACAAATTAATAATAATAAGCAAATTCTTGTCCAAAACTTTTGGTCTCGAATTTATCCTTATTTCCAATTCGTAAAAATTATTTGGGAACAGCTGCTATATTACCGCATGTGCAATATAATCTATCTACTATTCTCGTGATCAAATATCGGAAATTTATTTATTTTGAAAGTCCGTTGGCAAACTAACGTGACGTCTTTATGTCTAATCACCATCAAACTGATTTGCTAGTTTTACAATAAAGACATGTACCGGGCGGGGTCTTAAACATTCCAACACGGTTTATAACCTAGCTACCAATTGAAAGGGTGGGAAATTTCCCATATATGTAACGCATAAATTTCTTGAACATTCCAAATAACATATCAGTGCCTTCAACCCAACCCGTTACGTCCTATGTTTGCTCACTATATGGCACGTCTTTCTGCAGCAATTTTAATAAATGTTCACTAACAACCTTCAGCTTTGTATTTCACATGTTTATCCTGTCAAAATAAACGTTGATATGCAAATCCTGATAACTTATCCTCCGGGTGTAAGGCAGGGTTATCATATCTAAATAATTAATATAGTTTTTGTTTCAATTTGTTTCGTCTTACAGAAATAATTTTAATCTAGGAAACATAAAATTTTGGTGTTTAATAAACGTTATAGGGATTTTTGTTGCTCTGGATGACAGGTACTCTTAATGACCCTCAACCTGGTTAACTCGGGATTAATTATGTTTTCTTACCTTGATATTGCAACTAACGATAACGAAGAACGAAAAATTACGAGTTATATCCATTTGTTACCCAAAATATTTACTGCTTCGTGCAGTACTGCTAGTACCAATTAAACCGAAAGATCTAGAAATACAATGGGTCTCTTGACGTGTTTCAATAACATTAAAGAATGTTTTTTGGTTTTAATTCTAATTTTAGTTAATATCTGCCCTTCTAATAGAAATATCCTATGTATATTGTTGTCAATGATGTCTCTGGCCCTACCATTGAGCAAAACAAACTGCTGATGCACTTATGATTTAAGTTAATATGCTAAGTTGTAATTAGTAAAACAGAGAGAGACGACGGTCTTCAATCTGTATTGGGTCAACTCGGTCGCCCATGTAGTTTAGACGACAACCATTTGCAAATTACTCCTGATAATTTCGAGTATCAACTCAATAAGATTGAAGTAGCTGTACCTTTTCTGCAATGACACTATCGTGTTGAAGAACAAGACCTTTCTTTTGAAGTCGCTTTTCAAAAGACCTTCGTGATCGCGTCAGCGTCTTTGCATCTTTCTTAGCGTCGTCGTCTTTTTCATCTTTCTCTTTACAGGTCTCGTAGACCAAAACGTAATCAATACGCCTGCTGTAGTCCCCATCGCTTATGTACGCCTTATCGGTCGATGATTCTGTTAAAGGCGCTTTTTCTACATCAAGTTCAACAGTCTCGGTTACATCTGTTTGACTCAGTTCCGAATAGGCACTTCTATCCATATTTGGATCGCTTCGTCGTTGCAAGAGTCGTGATAACATAGACACAACTTATGAAGTTTTACTTCTGCGCCTTTAAATATCGTAAACAGTGCTAGCTCTGTGAATCAATTACAGATTACTAGCTTCACCTCTATCCCTTGGGTTTTAATCAGCCACACCGAAAAGTGCCACTGAAAAGAGCGGGTTACGTTTCTCGAATTATCGCCTTGAACGGAGCTTTGAAGTGCTAGAACTACACCCCAATATGTCCCACCTCCTTCAGAATAATCAATTTGTCTGTAAATGATATAAATATTGATGAGAAGCATCTATCACTTACAATAGTGCGCTACATTGTCCAAACAACATATTGCATTCCGTTGTTTTGACACGAACATGTGTTGATGATTTGTGTTTTGACTCCTGAAAAAATATCATCCGTAGCATTATTTATTTATTGTCAGCTACCTTTTATTGCCAGCTCACCGACTAAACAAATGGATTCTTGTTATTCAGAACTGACACAAATTTTAATAAGCACGTCAAGATTATGAACATTTTGCCTGAATAGTGGCTTTGTCTTCTTTGAAAAAAGTTGTACGTGTTATTGTTTCGCGGCTGAACGATTCAAACCTCGAGCTCCCAACGAATGTGATATGGTTTAAACGTTTACAACGCTACCAATAAAAATTTAAACTCTTTCATCATTTCACCACCACTGAGTTCGCTTAAAATGCGTTATTACACCAAAATTCGTGTTTTCAAGAGCTTAGGATCTCTATCGCAACAGTTTTTCTTTGGCTTGGTAACCAAACCTAGCTTTCCTTCTGGAGGTCAAGGGACGAGAGTGAGTGTTGCCTTGGTTGCCGTAGAGACTCGAGTGATTTTAAAAGACTTATAGCATTTTGTTCTAAAAAAAGTTAACACGGATACGAAATAAATATTTCTTAAAGACGGGCTGATGTTCAGAGGAAATTTATTCTGTAATTTAGGTCACTTATCCATTGAGTGAGAAAAATTTGTCAAAGTCGTTAGTCACGCTTTTATGAGAGGTTCCGTGGCCCAATAGATAGCGGTCTGGGTGCGAAGTGGTCACGAAAAGCATTTACATATGTTGCTCCTTTTCAAGAATAAAAAACAAAGCTCACTTCACTTTCAGTCAGTGTCATCTCCACACAGGTTGACAGGGTCGTTGGAACCCGATTATCACTTAAGGAAATAATTGATATACTAAGCGCGCATGACTGATCGAAAGAGTTGGCAAACCTATGTATATATTCTTTAACATGAGTAAATAAACTGGAAGTCATTACCGCTGGTATATTTGTTTTATTACAAAACTCTCAGAATTAACATTTGAAGCAAGATCGATATGCCACAATACTAGGGTCCTGAAGGCATTCTTATTTGGACAGAAACATGGTTTTGAGCCTCACACTGAATCATAGTTTCAGTAACGTGCAGCAGCATCTAAGGATCTACAAAGGCCCAATCCAAATGTACATACACCAGAGTTAGGTTGTTAAAAGAAACTTAACCGATTGATAATGCATAGCCAAATATTTTAATATTGCCCTATTCATTAAATGAAGAGATTTTAAATGAAGACTTTCAAAACCAATCCCATGGGTTACAAAACGTACATGTACAAAACCAGTCATAGGTCGAAATTTCGATTTAATTTCTTTTGCATGAATTATTTTACCCCAAAAATTGCATGCTGAAGTAAACGTTATATGTTTTCGTTACTGTGATCCTGAAGTAACGCCTTGGCAAGCTTCCTCTCTCGTTTCATCTTGTACTCCAGCTCGTCGGGGGTGTCTGGAACTATCCAGGCGATGAAAGAAGCAATGGCGTACACAACAAACTGAAAAACGAACACGAAGGCGAGTCGAGCGGCTAAAATGTTCCAGTACTCAGTGGAGCGATTGTACGGGTAGTAGTTGTTATGGTAGCCTTTATACCTGAGCAGAAAAAATAAAAACCCAAAATACCTCATCAGAGATAGCGATACCAAAAATCAACTGAGAAACACTATGCAAATTAAATCTATAGCTCTAATGGTTTTATGTTGGTGAGGGATATTGCCAGGATAAGTTATCGTAGAAATGCTTACCCAAGGCTTCAGCTGTACGTTTGTTTAAGCAATATGTTACCACGGGGAAACGATGCTTTCTTATCCTCTGTTTGGTGATTAAGAGTTTCCAGAAAAAATCTTAAATACGCTATTAACCTACACGGCATTAAAATATTTGTAACTTACTTACCTGCAATAATCCCGAGTGAAGTTAAGATTTTTAGTGGGGTTCACTGGTTGAGTACCGTTCTCCCACGTGTAGAGGGTCTTCAAATCAATGAAGGCAAGGCTGTTATTGACGTAGCCATTCAATGTCCCTTTCCAGAAAGAGGGGCCATTTTCTGATGAGTAAACCATTTTGTATACGAGCTTGGGAATGAACTCTGAGGTAAAAGCCAGCACAAACGCGTTCACCAGAACTGAAACCTTGGTGACTGTTTCCAGAACACTGTACCACGCTCCAATGTCCTCCACTCGGGCGGCGTCAGGACGACGGAAGTGGCACAAGAAGTTGATGGCATCCAGGCGAATTTCGATGACAGCATTGACGAGTGCAAACAATGGACCAAGTGGGAAGGCGGCAACAAACATCGTTATGAAGCCGTACTGCAAAACTAAAGGACGATATAATTCTTTTCGTAACTGCGAAGTTACAGGAAACTATCCGTTACAAAGCCGCATTCTATATGTCTATGAATTTTTCGCATAACAGCCAACATTTTAGTTACTACAAACATTCTAGTCAAGTGCTAAAGCGCTAATTTCGTGAGTGTTTTGTTTTTTTTTTTAATTAAATCTCACTTCTACCATAACTCAGAAATGGCATCATATTCATAATTATAACCCGACTTAAAGAACATTTTTCTTTAGAAAGGCAGGTAGACTAATAGAGCCCTTCTTAGATTAAAATGCCGGGACCAAACTAACCACGGAATTCTGATAACATGCCTAGCCCCCCTTATTCTGAATTGGTCAAGAGACTTACCAATTTCGAGGTATTCCCAGAACATGAAATGTTTTTCCAAGGGGCTCAAGTCGAAATCCAATTCAAACTGTGGTCGGTCGCCAGCGCTCTTTTGGTTACGTCTTTTTTTTAACAGCATCAGGTACCTTGAAACAGCTAGTTGTGTGAGTTATCAGTAGAGTCTAGTTTTCATGCTTTACATTACTACAGTAGAACCCTTGAAGGCTACCACTCGAAAAATATTTACCGGCCATTGTAGAGAACTTCCAATAAGGTCTAATGTGGGGTGAGGTGTATAGTATTGATGGGCAAAGAAATCTTATCCGTGCATGTAAAGCGGTGACAATAGCTCAGATCTCCGGTGTATAATTTTATACGCGTTTTAATTTGCCGGAAAAGCAACATCATCATCAACAACAACAAACAGATGATGCGAGCCTGCACCATTACCGAAATTAATTACGTCACTACCTATGATCTTTTCGAGGCGTTTAGAATCGAGAGCTTTTGTGTAACTGACTTATCAAAGTTGTCGATACTTACGGAATGCCAATCTCTGTGATGTTGTAGAAAATCTGCTGTCCGACCATGATAGTGGCTATTTGAATTGTCAGCTCCAAGAAGCAACCCTGCTCACTGCAGCCATCCAGTCGATACTCACCCAACACTCTTCTGTACCTTCCCGGTGATCCAACGATCATCTCTGATTTGAAGAATGCGATGTAGAAGATGGAGGTGTAGTTGTTGACGAATTGGAATAGGGCCATTTTTCTGGTGAAACTATCTTGGTAGGCCGTTTTAGTTGGCGGATTCTCCCAATCAGTCAGAAAAATAGCCAGCTTGTTGTACACGAATTGTAGGATCGTGATCGCTACCAGATTAAGTAAGGCAGCAGTGGCCGTTGTGAGGATCCTAGCACCCTTTTCGATTTTCTGGTCCGAACTGCTGCTTAAAACTGCAAAAACTGCCGCTCGGTACACAACCACACCAATCATAGCAGCTATAACCAGGAAAATCATAAGGGTGATGACACTACACACGAATCCCAGTCGACGAAACCGCTTGATCTTAAAGACGTTTGGGCGAATTTTTCCAGTTTGCGGATCAGGAACGTAAGGATTTTTCTCCCCCTCTGTCAATTTTGCCAAGTACTCGGGGCGAAATTCTTCTTCCTCTTCTTCAAACTCAGATGTGTGCCATTTCTGGGCAAGGGACGCTTGACGTCGTTTCCAGAACTCAAGGAAAAGTGACGCCCAAAGGGATGAAAGAAAAGCCAGGCCGACCGTCCAATCATTGTCAAAGTAATGGGTGATTTTAGCGTAAATGCACGTGTCTGGAGCTAAATTCCAGTAGCTGCACTGGCGATCGCACAACGGGCACATGTACCAGCGATCTCGGTTCTTCTCATCGCACATGTCAAGCACTGGAATATAGGAGCCCGTTGATAGAATTCCATACAAGAACACGATCAAGGCGACGATGGCAAGTGGAACTAACATGGCGGTGTAGAATCCAAGCCAGGCAAAGTACAGGCCGATTTCATGACCAAAGTATTCCTTGATGGCATCGTAAGGCTGGTACTTGAAACATCTGCCAAATCGTGCCCAGTCTCTCTTTAGCTGCTGGCGCTTGTTAACTGGACATTCACCATCTGATGACCGTTCATGCTTAAGCTTGCCGTCATGCAGGGGATAACATGCTAGGTATGCGCCCTCGTAGACAAGTTTGCTCAGTCCTACATCATCTGGTTCATCCGAAAACCGCGTGCTGTTAAAGATTTGCTGGATCAAATGTTGTCGATCAATGATCGAGAAAAACGATTCCTGGTTGCAGTTTTGTTGGAAGGTATATGCTGAAAGGCGATCCCTCTTAAACTGCGCCATGAAATGATCCGGAGTTTCTTTGATGAAAGGATCTCGAATGTTAAGAGGATTCTTCTTTCTGATAGCTGTTACTATCTTTGAACCAAGTAAGAACTCTAGCCAAGAAGTGAAGACGGTATCATTGACCTGAAGGGGAACTTTTAGCTTCGTGCATTCAGCGCGTTCTGCAAGTACTTCCCAAGGAGCGTGTATTAAAACAAAGTGTCGTAAGACTTCGGTATCCTTTCATAAAGAACAGAAATCGTAAACCAATTAGTCTGCGAATAACCTTAAGGCAATATAAAAAAAAGATCTTAAATCAAATACTCCAATCCGGATCTCGCCGAATTACTTGTTTCAGTGCAGTTGTTCTTTGGTATTCACTTAGCATTAGTTTATGGGAGTTCAGTGCTGGGAATTGAAATACAATGGAGTAGGTAAAACAATGCATTTGTTCTGGCAGTTTTTTAGTATTGACATAAATTTCTTTAATATTTGACCATGTTTTTTAAAACCACATTTGCTGACTTCTCGAATTAAGAATATTCACCCGATTTAGAAAAACAGTTGTGAATCTACTTGCAAACAAATAATGCGACATCTTCAGGATTTGTGTCATACCCACGTCACCTAGCCATTTACCAGCATCTGCAAATTTGATAGATGCCATATCCGTATCGTTCAATATTCGAGGTCTGTCTTCATAATTTATACAGTTACTACACTGCGAAGGTGTTGTTAATTTACTGCATGAACAGCTTTACATTTTGTTTCGTCGGTGTACATGACGTCCACATAAGAATCGAGCATGAATATAGCCGAAAAAATACATAAAACATATTCTTAGTAAAATTCCACCCCGACATTTATGCTAATATGGACGTCAAGCAACACGAGCGTATTACAAAGATGACTCAATAATAAACAGGTTGTTTTACCGTTTGTACCACGCGGGTTTGTCGCTGCAGGATTAGTCCTTGCTCTTCAAGCTGCTTTTCGAAAGTTGTTCTTAAAGATGCCAATCTTGCCACTTCTGCTGCGGATTCCTCGTCAGTGCTTTCATTCTCTTGGCACGTTTCGTACACCAAAACGTAATCTGTTCTACGCCTAGGCTGGTCTGCTCCGCTTAAATAAAGACCCCTGTTGTCGTCCGTACTGAAATTAACAGAATCAAGTTCATTTTCCTCCTCTTCATTCGACAATCTTGTAAACGGTATCTTACTCATTTTACGTTAGCTAATACAGTCAGAGCTCATCAACACCTTGAACGTGTTATTCAATGCTGGGTCCAAAGTATTGCTACGCTTCGCTGCTTCCTGAAGCACTGGTATTTTTGGAACACGTAAGTGTATGAATTATTATTGTTTCGAGATCATTCAAGAACAAATTAAAGAAAAGCGCAAATGTCGTGCGTGACCGCGATAAACACAATTAGTTGACCTCACAGACAAATCATTTTGGGACACTAGATTGGTCGAACAGGGGGTACAACGTTTAAATGATATCTAAAGCATAAAAATTGCCAGCATAAGGTGACTCATGAATTTTTAATTTTATTGTAAAAGCTGTTTTTTTCATGACTTTCAGGGCTCAAAATAATTTTCGGACCATGGCCGGTCATGTTGACAGGCCAAAATAATTTTAGCTCGGTCACGTCTCGTTTCTGAACGGTCAAGATATATATTTACTAAGAGTCAACTTTGAGAATTAGAAACTTCAAGCAGTGTTGAATCTGGTGTTATAGCAAAAGTTTCAGTATTGGGTACCCAAGTTTCTTTAAAAATGTCTTAAAAATAGGGACTTTTGAGCCACCTTAAGTAATGTTTGCATAATTGAACCCACAAATATAATTTGTTTGCTCGGTCAGTCGTTGCCAGACCGTTTAAAAATTGGTTTAATACAAAGAAAATCTTAAAACTCAACCAAAGATAGCCTTCTTAAAAATGGTATTTTTTTTTTTTTTTTTTTTTTTTTGTAAATGGGAGTTTGGTTTTCGAAAATGGGAGTTTGTTTTTTCGAAAATGGGAGTTTGTTTTTTCGAAAATGGGAGTTTGTCTTACGAAAATAGGAGTTTGTTTTCGAAAATGAGAGTTTGTTTATCGAAAATGGGAGTTTGTTTTTTCGAAAATGGGAGTTTGTTTTACGAAAATGGGATTTGTTTTTCGAAAATGGGAGTTTGTTTATCGAAAATGGGAGTTTGTTTTTCGAAAATGAAAGTTCGTTTTTCGAAAATGGGAGTTTGCGTTCCCAAAATGGGAGTTTGGTTTACGAAAATGGGAGTTTGTTTTACGAAAATGGGAGTGATGATAAAAATGATTGACAGGCCAAACAAACTCGTATTTTCGAAAAAAAAACTCCCAATTTTGAAAAACAAACTCCCATTTAAAAAAAAAAACTAACTCCCATTTTCGTAAAACAAACTCTCATTTCCGATAAACAAACTCCTATTTTCGAAAAAACAAACTTCCATTTTCGAAAAAACAAACTCCCATTTTCGTAAAACTAACTCGCATTTTCGTAGAACAAACTCTCATTTCCGAAGAACAAACTCCCATTTTTAAAAAAACAAACTCCCATTTTCGAAAAAAAACTTCCAGTTTCGTAAAATAAACTCCCATTTTCGTAAAACAAACTCCCATTTTCGAAAAATAAGCTCCCATTTTCGAAAAAGCAAATTCTTAATCTCGAAAAACGACCTCCCATTTTTCATAAGTGGATGTCCCTTTGGGGCTTCTACGATACTCCTCTGCCGTCCTAACAGATGAAACTTTTTTCGAACGGATAGCAGCAGTTGTTCGAACGGCTGGATATTTTTTCCGAACGGATAACCCCAGCCGTTCAAAACGCATTCCTGTCGATCTTGAATGCATAACAAACAGGAAGCGAACGACTTCTAGCCGTTCGAATAGATACCCGTTAGTGTATGTTTTGTGTAAGAGGTCATAATAAAAAAGAGATTAAAAATCTAAGATTTACATTTGAGGATTTGATTGTTTATTCAAGAATGAACGACGTGACCGTCTCAACATGACGTGACCAGTCAACATGACCGGCGAATGAAGTTGGCCGCCGGCCGTTATTTTGAGCCCTGACTTTGGAGACTAAATAAGGTGGAGAAAGAGATTATCATCTAAATCACAATCTCTTGCGTAAAGAGCTTCTGCTCAGCATCCCCCGCAATCTCTCGATCATGTCCAAGCTAATCGCTTGCCACTTGGCAAACCTTCTCCTTTCCTAATCCCAGTGAACTTGTGACATTTTAATAAGAAAATAACTTGAACTAGTCACGTAGCCTCATACCGCTAAGTTAATGCACGATTCAAATTTCTGAGTATAGAAGACTGTAAGCCGGCTCTACGTACGGTCGTGCGCTCACGAATTACAGTGGGACACCGTTTATACGGTTACCAACGGGCTATGAAAATTTGGCAGTATTGACGGGTGGCCGTATTGACTGGGTAGGATCAAATTTGGTTGAAATTGAGTGTTATGCTTCTGAACAACTTGTCTTTAATAAGCTTCCTAAAGGCAGATAATACTTTTTTTAAAAAATTGAAATTTTCCATCAGTGCATACAATGCTAACATTAGAAAGATGAACCGTGCCGTTTAAACGGGGTAAAATTAAAGAGGATCATACAGGTTGGGATTTTAGAATGTGGGCGTTTGTTGTATTAAAGGGTCGCTGCATTAACGGGGTTAATGCGGCGACCCCTTTAATAAGAAAATGCATGGGCGTTTTGCCGGGACAAAAAAGTGGCCGTAATAAAGAGTTGACCGTATTAACGTGAGGACAGTAGGGCGGGGTTCCACTGTGGATATCCCCTCGTATATTAATCTATCCGCCGACCAGGCGAAGAGAGAGCTCGATCGCAGAATAACTTCAATGTAGTAAAGTTGCTAGTTAAAAACACAATAGTAAAGAATTCCAGTGATTGTTATAAATGAAAAGTTACTGGTAGCCACCTTGATAGCTCCCCAAATTCTCCCAACTATTGCATTTTAAAAAAAATATAAAGAACAGCAAGGAAAAGATAAATGCCAGCATTCGGGCCTTAAGGAATTTTGCACTTACCTTGTCAGGGTAAGACTATCTAGTGCAAGACTTTTTCGCCTCTTGTGCAAAGCTCAAGAAAATAAATTTTAATTTTATATTTATGATAAATTTTAATTTACGAGCCTTCTGTTATAACAGAGCTCGTAGGTTGGTAGAGCATGACATGCCAATCGTCCTCCACCATCAGCCCAACCTTACAGTTAGGGTGAGGGTGGAGAAAATTCACATTTCAGTTCAGGCCACGCAGGCCAGTTACTCAGGTCGAAATACGCCTTTTTATCGTCTTTGATTGTTAAATTAATTTGGCATTTTATCAACAATCCGCTCGCGCAGTTTGGAACCTTATTGCTAAATTCAGTCGTATTGAAACAGTTACGCTGTTAAATTTCGCCTCACTGGTAACAGTAAATAACTAAAACTTCTTATATTTTCTCGGAAAGTTCAATTGTTTTCTCCCTTGGGTGCATGCTGTTTAAGCTACCCGTCATGTAAGCAGGTAGTTCCGCGTACCGGCCACAATGGAAGATCACCGAAGGGACACTAAAACGGTGAGGATCAATTACATTAAATTAACACCGTGTTTGAAACAAAACCCCGCAATTAAACCTCGGACGTTCAAAGGGGTGCGAGATTTTTTCAGAAGTTTTGCTTTTTTGAGATGATTTACTCCGTGATGCTGAAACTTTCAGTCAATGTTCATTAATTCCTTGCCGAGATTTTAGCATGCCATTTGACATTGCCATAGCAACCGCATTTTCACCTGCAGGTCAAGCCAAATTTCGTCTTTTTGGACAGAATTCTTTTGTGTTTTTTTAGTTCTCCTAAGTAACATTGCAGAACTAGTGTATTCTTACATTCAATTTTTTTTTTATTTTTGGATAATTTCCCAAGAATTCACTTTATTTACTGACTTTCCAAGAAAGTAGTGGAACCCAAATTGGTGGACAGACGTCATGTGACGCGTATGACGTCATCACCAACATAAAAGGCATCTGGTCATCTTTGAGGTTGTCTGTTAAAAGCAAAATAATTTACTTTTTATGACTTATTCCAACAAAAACCCAGGGGACAGGTTTCTTTCTCCCTCCTTGCACCACGTTTGGGGCGAGAGTTAGCTTGCACGTCTAAGGGGTTAATGTCGTGTAGTACGGTTTCATTTTTGCCAGCAGCACCATAAACCAAGAGCTTCTGTTTCAAAACATTTCTCCTAATGAAATAGCTATCTGGCTATCGTCCCACTATATACCGTGGAGATGAATCTAACTGGCTAAGAGAGCGTTTCTTTCGGTCATGATCGAGACCATTATCAATGGTCCAACATCGCGGGGATTATGGTGCATCAATTAAGCAACAGCTGAATCCTTGTTTAATGCATCACGATCTGAGTGATCTAGGATCATCGATCCTGGTCGGGATCATTCCAGAGAAACAGAATCTTTTATTGTGTTCGAAATTGAAGTAGGCCTATCATTCTAGCTATAAGAAATAAAAATCTATAACACTGTCCTAACGAAATTCAAACTACACTTTTTATGGATTTTGCCTATAAATAACCCAAGCAGCATAAAGTGCCGATCAACAATCTCTCCAATAGCACCACTAGAAATGAGTGTAGGGAATCTACTTCACTTCTAATTTCACTGAATTTAATAAGCTAGCTTGCACAATAATTCCTCGCCTTCTAAAATCTGTGGTTAAGCTAAGTCTTACCTGTGTTCTTAGAGACCTCCTGTCAACTGTTCAGTGGCTGGTTATGTTTGTATTTTGAAGTGGTATTTTCCAGGAATTGAATCGCTTAGACCATTCGCAGATTTCCTGTAAACGATTTGCTGAACTCGCATGCCGCACCGGCCGGGACGAGCATGATTTACACATTTGGAACATACATACATACATACATACTTTATTTGCAACTGCCCAAAGGGGCTTTTCAGTTACAAAAGGAATAAAAAAGATAAAAATACGTCAATTAAAATGAATAAACAAACTGGGAAAGGAGTCTAAAATTAATTAC